AACATTATATGAAAATCAATAAAATTATAAAAATCTAATGGTCCAAAAGTCATGAAATTTGAATTAAACTTTGGCCTTAATTTTATGTAAAATCTAATATACTAGCATATACAAAATACAATTATTTAAAACATTCCAATTTATATGCAACCATCTCAAAAGAATCAATTTGATAGCGGGATTAAAATAATAAACAAGAAACACCAAACACAATCACTTTATTAAAAAAAATGACATACAAAACAAACTACAACAAATTTGGTCAAATAGCATGGAAGGAAAGTAACATTATTTGCTGATATAATAACCATTGTTTTATGACTTCAAGAAGTCTATTGCCTATAGAAGTTAAATTTAGAATTTCTTCAGGGGTGATCTTCCCAAAATTCATTCTGAGAAGAAAATTTCTTGCCACTCACATAAAAGGAACCTTTTGAGAAGGCTACAAAGATTTTTATAGGATTTGGATCTGGTGAATTTGCAGTCTTCTCAGTCAGTGATTTTTTAATCTTAATTTAGCTAAGCCTTCAATGGTTACAATCATTGCATATAAATTGGAACATTTTAATTAATCATAATTTTGTGTATTCCAACCTAAATGAAATTCTGTAAGTTTTTATATTTTTTAATATTCTACATAAATGTGAGGTCAATGACCAAAATGTGACAAATCTAGAGTCACTATTTTTATAATTTTATTTTATTTGCATATAATATTGGAATGCACTGTATATCATACTTTTTCATGTTGAAAAGTAAAATTTGAATGAACTAAAATAACATTTTAAATTTAACTGAATTTATTAGTAGAGAACAAGAAGTTCTCTAGTAATAAATTCAGAATTGTAAAGAATCTGTAAAGAAGCTATTTAAAAAGTTTTGCAAGAAGTCAATAACAACAATCCCAAACTTGGAGTAATGTGCTAATGTAATAAGCATACATAGTTATGAACACAATCAACAAATCATCATTTTACAAATTAATGGACACAGCAAGACAATTTTGCTCATAAAATATTGTTATGGACTTTATTTGGTGTTCTGTTAAGTAAATTTAATCCAACAAATAAATTAATTTTTAACTTAAATTTTATATGTTAAACAATCTTTCCATTTTTGTCATATCACATTTATATAGATAGACCGGTGTAATTAACATAGTACATACTATTTTTCTCTATAGTAAAATAGTATGATATTTAATAATGAAAAATAGGCAACCAAGAATATCAATATTGATCTTTATCCATATTATAACACATACCAAAAGGATGCCATGAGAAAAGAAGCCTTTTTCTAATTAGATAGAATGATATTTCCAATCAGCAGAGCAGGAACTTTAGCTAAATTTATCAAGAACTGGTGAGTGGATCATTCAAAAGAAGTCAATATTTAGAACAAAGAATGGTTGCTTAAGTATTTTGGTCAAATTGATTAATATTAAATTTTTTCAGTTTTTAATTTCTGTATTCATAAACACTTTATTATGGAGGACATAAGGGTTTTTACATTTTGCAATAAAAGAAATTAGATTTTATCAAATCAAAGCCACATTGTTCAGTTATTATAACAATTAAAGAAAAAATGCCCCAACTTTCAAATCAAAGTAAATATTGCTCTTCAACTTGGAATTATATCAATCAAGTATATCCAATTATTAAACACTATTTTAATGTAATTTGAGAATGATATTTTTGACAAACTAAAAACTCACTAAGATCAAAGAAATCTCTCATAGGGAAAGGCACATTATAAACAAATAAATGAACAAGAGATTTTATAATGTGACCCTTTCAAAAAAGTTAGATAACAAATAATAAGTTAGATAAATCTCAACAAATGTAAAATTATTCTTATCTTTCAGATTAACATTTACAAATTTAATTGACTTTCTAAGGAATGAACTCAGAAGATTATGAAATTATAATGGAATCTTATAGTAAATGTTTAAATGCCTAAGCACACTTAATGATCCAGTTTACTTTTTTCACTGTCAAAAACCTCTTTTAAGTGAATTTGTATATTATGTCAAAAACTAAATTTATCTATGTTTGTACACATATTTAAAAGTTACTGTTTCTGATACAGCATTTAGATTAAGATCAGCCTTATGGTTGCAGATTAAGAAGTTTAATCTGATCTAAAATCTAAATATTCTTTAAATTAATTTTGGTTAGTATATGAAATTTACAAATTCAAAAAAAAATTCAATAATTGTTTTTTAAATGCTGAAATAGAATTTTGATTTCTCTAAAGGAACTTAGCATTAGCACATTATGTTGATATTTGAAAAACTAATATTCAGTTGTTGTCATGGTAGATATAACATTAACATGATATTAGATATTAATTAAAATGACTTGACATTAGTTCATCAAACAAATATGAAATCTGACTAATAAACAGTCTACTATATCTATGAATATATCTATGTTGAAATAATAGAGATGAATTGAAATTACTTTATTTCATTCATAACTTTTAAAAATACATATTTGAAATTTCTGAATATTTTTCTTGATGCAGAAGTGATGAGTAAAGTTAAAGGCAAAATAAACAATAATAGGCAGACTACAACACCTTAAATGACATCAATAGTCAAACAAACAGTCCTGATTGTCATTATAACCAAAACGTTTAAGTTTTTTCTGTATAAAACATTTAGATTTAGACACAGCATTCATTGAAATTTCTTTAGAGTCAAAAAAACTGAATTATTAACTTGAACTGTTTAATAAAAATGCCAATATTTAAATAATGCACAATGCTAACCTAGGACATCTATTTTGGTGAATATATTAAGATCAATTTAAGACAAGGCCTCTGAAACATCATCAACTCATAGCCTGCTTGCTCAATACACTGATTCCCAGTGCTAGAGAACTTGAATATCCAAATTAGGTGTGGTTGCAACCAAAGAACAAGGACAAGACAAATGATAAATCATGTTTTCAATGAAGCAAGGAAAAGAAAAGATCAGATTCATTAACAGATTTTTGTCACGAGATATGGAAATGTGTTTTTAGCAGTGGTTGAACAAAACTTCCTCTCTGTTCTGACCAATGTTATCTAAAAAATAGAATATATTTGTCATTTCAGCTACAAATTCATACAAAGATAAAATTACTGACAAAAAATAGGTGTAACTCAGATGAGAAGAGAGAGTATAAAAATGTGTTTTATCACTACCTGCTTTTATAACATTAAAGCTCGGATCAACATCAATATCAGTAAAAATCATTGTTAATATCCTATGTTGTGTCTTTATGATTTTTGTTTTTCATTTTACAATTTTACTGTCAGTTTTCTTCCTTGATATTCAATAGTTTTATTTATTTATTTATTGAAAGAAATTAATAATTTTAACATTTCTGAAGTAAAATGTTTTCATAAGAGATGAATTTATTTCAGAAATAATGCAACTGAAATCCATTAAACATGGCATGTGGAACTAGAACAGTCTACCCCAGTGAGCGAAATAAAGGCTTAAGTTTGACATTACAACCACCTGAATAAGGCCAGAGTGTACAACGGCCAAAACGTTGTAATAAATATGGCGACAAAGATGAGGACAATAGTCTGAATAATGTATGTATGTATGTGTATGCTTTTCTATACACGTTGTGCCTGCATATTACTATAATTGTATTTGGCCTTCAAATTAATTTTCAAATCTACTAAACCAAACATAAATTTAAATTTTCTTTTAATGTAAGCATTATTTCTATTATTATTATAACATTGATTCCTTAACTCTCTTGCTGTCTTGTAATGACTTTTTAAAAACAGTATTTCCTAGATTATTTTTATTAGATACTTTAAATTCTTGATCTTATTTGAATTTAAAATTGCCTTCTGCTGTTTCTGATATGTACTTAAATGGCAATTGCAAATATATAATGTTCAAATATTCTAACTCTTCTAGAGTAAAGTTATTTTGACGGATAAAGAAAATGGTGACTATTGAAATAAACAGTTTCATATGATTCGGACATTAGTGTCATTAATGTTATGCATACTTTTTTAGTCTTGCAAATATAATTCATTTTTGTTTTATAAAACTGCAAAAGGCAAATGCTTTTCTACCCACATCTCCATTGAGAAATATAATTTAGAAAGTTAAATGCATTAAAGTATATATAAATAGGGAAAAAAGCTAATTAGAGAAATAATTTCAAAAGCAAAAGAAAAACTTCAAATACAAATCTGAAGAAATATACTTTTTATATGAAGAAAATGTGTTTCATATAAAACCATCACAAAAATGTACAGCACAATCATTTTCTAAACAGATGTTGCCTTTACCAGTAGCAAATATAAGTCTAAATTTTCAACAGCTGGAGTAGCATAATACATATTTCAAATAAAATAACATTAAAAATAAAGGAATTTCTCAAAAAAACAAGATTCATAAAATAAAAACCAACATATTTTTATAAAAAATCAATACAGAAATTCTCAAGAATTAATATCAAAGATTCATTATTGAGAATTTTTTGAAGGCCAATATTAAAGTTCAAAACAGAAAATCTTAGTAAGGCTTAATAAAAGTAAAATTCCATTCTCCAAGCATAATGAAAATCCCATTCAATATTGAAAATCTCATAGATCATATCATTCAAGAGTTTTGATACTCAAATGTATGAGGGAAAGTTGTATATGCAACCCTGAAAATATAGAATAACTAAAGTGAATAAAATCTAAACAATGGTTAAAAGAAACAAAAAAAAGTACAGGCTAGTGATTCATATTTGTGTTGAATAAAACCCCAAATTCTTGTGATGCAATCTAAAACAATGACAATAATTAATATTCTTGAGTGTGTTCATTTGTGAGCAAATCAACCAGAACACATTATGTATATTTCTAAATAACTGTTATTGCAAAAGATCTCCAAGATTTTGAGGGTTGTGCTGCCAATGGAAATATTTCTGAAATAAAGAGGCATCCTGATTAATATCTTGTTACTGGTTCTATTCAACTACCATGTATCAGCTTTTTTATTTAGCTGCATGTTCTTTAACCAGATCCTCTTTCAACTGAGCCCTCATAGATAGAACCAAATTTGGATTCTCGAAAATGTCAATGGCTGTCATCGCAATGGATTCAGCAATTTTAAGTGTAATGCACTGGGCTGAAGAATTACCTGCAAGAAAAAATGAATACAAAGTTTATTTAAAATACTAAAGATTTTAATTTTTTATTAGGTTTTGTTAAATTCAGCTGACAAGATCTGTTTATTTTTTTATTTCATTTTTCTAATTGTCAAATAAGTTGATGCACATCTGGACCAAAATTGTGTGGCCATAGACTAATCATGCTCATTAATGTTTATGACCAAAAGCATGTGAGCATCAAAACATGACCCCCATTGATATGACAAAATGTTACTTTGTCCAGAGAGTTTTGATTTCTCTTGAATAAACTGGATGATAAGATATGCATGTGTGTGTGTGTGTGGTGGTGGTGGGGGGCACTGGCACTAAGATGCACTGTGAGAAAACAAGTTAGCTTAGTGGAGCTTGTATGAAGGTTGTATAAATATATTATCAGCAGCTCAGATTATGGATTGTTAATCGATATTAAAAGACAACAGTTGATCGACACAAAGACTGATGTCAAATATATTGGCTGCCTAAAGTCTGCAACACTTCTTAGTCCCAAAGTTGTAGCAGCAGAAGAAAATTTTGAGTTTTTTAAAATATTGTTCAATTATGGAGACATAACTGAACTAAAATTCAATACCTATGTGGTAAAACATGACATAAAACACTGCACTGAAACAACTTAAACTTATTATTTTACTTCAAAACCTTCTTTACCCTAATTAAAAATTTTCACTGAAAACTGAACCATGATATTTGCAATGAGTAGGACAACGCTTAAACAAAAAGATATTCATCTGTCAGATAATTTCTATTTACTTACTGAGTAATTAACTTATAGCAAAACAAAGGATTAAAATAAAACATACATGAAATAATTTTATGCATATGAATTTGGGTTCTGAAATCTGAAAACCTGCACAATTGTCTCCATGATTTTAAAATGATTTTTGATGGATTTGAAGAAACCTAACTCACTTTATTTTTATGCAGTTTTTTTCATGTAATGAATCACATTGGGAATATAAGCATTTCATGTCAATTTGATTGGGCATTGATTCAGTGTGTCAATAAATGCCAATATATTAGTTATATGTATAATGAATGCTCTTTTATGAATAAATGAACTTTTTAGCTTTTTTTTTATTAGTAATTCAATTGACTTACCTGCAGTTGCTGCAAAATCTCTTGTATGCTGATGAGATGTTGTACCAATATTAAATTTTGGATGAATACTGGGTATGATATGGGAGACATTTCCCATGTCTGTTGATCCACCATATCTGATAAGACCAGGATCTGGCTCAATCCCCACAGTTTTAGCATTTGTTTCAAAAAGGTTTGCAAGTGTGTCATTAGATAACAATGACCAGTAACCTGGTTGCACCAATTCATAGTCCAACTGTACAACAGAAAACAAAGAAAATATTAATCATTGTTAATTTTTTAACAATATTTCTTTCATAATTTCAAACACTTCCTATTGCAAATACTTAGACCATCACTCTATAACAATGAGTAGACATTCATCAAATAAAAAAAATTAAGAAGACTACTACTAATAATATTACTAATGTAAAAATAATAACAGTAATATGTAAACTTAGAGTGAAACTAAGAAAATTGAAGAGAGCCAAAGCAGCACACAAATTGCAATACACAGACTCCTGAATGACCCAAATGCGAAGGAGAAATATATAGACAGTGTTAAAAGCAGATACAATGAAGAAAATGAGAATGGAAATTCAAAGTGGGATGAATTAACAGAAGCTTTAGTCTACCACTTTCAAAAGGGCATGGTAATTCCCATGGGTCTATACTGGTCAACACAGCACTAAATCTACCACTTCGTCCCCGGCCCCTAACCTCCAGCGTCTTCTTCTTTGGGTTGAGGTGTCCACTCAGTCTGAACCAAACTTAGGGGTAACTGACCGTACACTCCCTGAGTACCCGTAGATTATTTCGACCGGTCAACTGGTCAAGTCCTGCTCACTGCCAACGCTGTGTTAGTTTTTAGATCCAGTAAGCAGGGTGTTGTCCATATGTTCACAGTCGACTGGGGATGTGGACACGGCTGTGAGAGTTGGCGGTAGGAAGTTTAGAATGTGGCAAAATAAAACAAGAAATAATATCTGCAGAAGCCAGATAACAATGGGTGAAATATTGATGTATTTTATATAAGAAGATAACATCAGAACAGAGGTTACAGGGAGAATAAAAACATTTAACATAAATGAGAAAAGAAAAAGACAAAATTCATTCAGCAAATTCCCAACAGAGAGAGGGTTTGTGTGTGATAAACGCGTATTGAAGCGCCTGGGGTAGGTTTATGACTAATAGTCCAGTCTCATACAGACTTCTCAGAACAGAGGGCAGTCTTTTTTCTCTCCTCCAAAATTCTCCCGCAAAAATCTCGACGCACTGCGACAATAGTCTTGTTCCCTGACTCTCTCTTCCGTCTCGCCTCTTCCGTCTTGCTCGACTGTCTCCTTGTAGCACTGTGACCTGTAATGGTCACCTGTGGGTGCTCATGCATGTGACGACAATGTGCCGACTGATCGCAGTCTCTCCTGTCTGGCCTCTTCCGTCTATGTGTTTATATAGATCATCTGTTTGATCACAAATCGACCCTTGGTCCAGCACGCAATTATCATGAGTGCCATTTCCAACCCTGATAGTCTGAGTAAGCTCTATTTTAATTTTTAATCAATTTATTTAGATCATTTCCATTGTTTTTTCAACGACCAAATTCCAAAGGCGAGATCAGAATTCCTCATCAGTAAACAGAACGCTCTGATCTAGTTTCACTAGCTAGATTCACTCCAATTTCAAAAAAAAAAATATATGTGTGTGTGTGTTTATGTGGATGTGTGTGCATATACCTCTGTTACATTAGTAACATCAGCAATTAAGATCATCCCAAAGAAAACCAGACAAAGAAAAAAGGAATAGCTGATAGATGAAATTCTCAACATGATTAAAAGGAGACAAAAAATAGTGCCAAGGTATGCTATAGAATATAGGACATTGCACAAAGAAATTAGGAATAAAAGCAGGTAGGCTTATGAGGAATGGCTCAATGAAAAGTGTACAGAAATAGAAAGAATATTACAGATAAAGCAGATAAGCATAAAAAATAGGAGAACAGGACAAAAGGATGCATAAAATCCAAGAACAGGATACTAAAAAAGTACTTCCGAGATGAACAAATGTATTGGAGAATTTGTCCGAGAGAAAAATACATAGAAATATCAAAAAACAAGGAATATTAAAATCTGAACTAAATCAGCAATGGCCAAATTGAACAGATACATAAAGACCAGACAAAATTGTAATATAGATGCTGGCAACCTTAGATGACTTTGACAAGATTAGAGACATCATTAATGAAATCTACAACAATGGTAATATACCATAAGACTTAAGTAGATAACTTTTCATAGAACTACTTAAGAATCCAGGTGCAAATGAATATGAACACCATTGGACAATCAGCCTCATTGTAACAGGACATTGACTCTGTTTAAATGTTTAATTGCATGAAATTACAGGATGGTAAGTTGGAGGAATTACTAATTGTATAATAATTATTAAAATTCTCAGGATCGTAGGTTGAATAGTTGAGAAGAAAAGTAAAAACAAAACACGTTAAAAATTATGTTTTAAAATAATAGAATGAGCAGTTCCATGAGAATCAAACCCAGAATTAATTAAACAAGATTCAATACAACTGAGCAAAACCAAGGCTCCCAACCCTATCCACTTCCCACTGATAAGAAGACATGTATATGTTGTCCAAATTTCTTAGGTCCTGAGAAATTAAAATTCAAGAGTTTATTTATACTATGTTATCTATCTGTGACACTATTTGGCACTGGAAAATGGAAAGAAAGGGGTTAAATCCTAAAACATGCCTCAGAATGAGACAAGAAGGGTTAATGAATAGAATGACAGATAGACCGAGAGAAAGAATGAAGATTTCCCTTTTCTTTCAAAAGGGAAGCTAATTTTCTGAAACCAGAGATTTACTAAAGAAAAGTGATGTGATCAAGGAAGCACTGGTCAAGCTGTCAGTAGCTATTGCAATAGCCAAGGACAGCCAAAGGATTTGGGAGAATGTAAAAGGCAAGAGGTCACAAGTGCAAAGTCAGAAGGTAGGCAGGCAGGAATGGGGAAGAAAGCCCCCCTACATGGGATAAAAAGGTAAAGCAGGAGGTTGAACCAGAGGAATGAGAAGAGGTTCCCAATAGAAGGGCGTGGATGTTGGGCATAGGTTTTACAAACTCATACCCAGCCGGTTAAGGCTAATCTGTTGGACCTGTCATTATGAAGGCCAGAGGGCAGTAGACTTTCCAACAAAATGGGGATTGCCCCCAGATTTTTATAAACTCAGATGTACTAAGTGCAGAACATCATGCACATGAGACAAAGTGGTGTGAGATCAAAAAGAAGGCCCCACAGCCCCCATTGAAAAGGATGAGGTAGCTTTGTTTGAGACAATAATGGGGGTGGCAGAGATGGTGCTAACAAGACAATAAAAATAAAGAAAGGAGAATTAGGAGGAAGAGGTAAAGTTTGATAAAGAGGGAAAGAAAGGACCAGAGCCAGTAGGATAGGTACGGAACAAAAAGATAGTGGCCCCTGATATATTTAGGGCTAATATGGGATATCTGATGAGGGCCAAACGTGATATAGTGGCCAACTCAGACAGGGAACTGGGTCAGATCTGCATGGTGAAGATGTGGATAGACACTATCAATCAGCCACCAATCAAATCAAGACTTTATTGAACACCCATCTATAAGAGACTCCTAGTAGAGGAAGCAGTCTGAGATATGTTAGGGATGATCAATAGATCTGAGTTGACTTGGAACTTTCCCTTAGTGGTAGTATATCTACTAGCACTATAGGAAAGCTTCAAGTCGACTCAGATCAAAAGCTGGTAGGCACAGATCCTGTGTTGACTTTAGGAGGTTAAACACCATCTCAAAGCTCCTAGCAGTGCCCCTGCCACCGATAGATGACATAGTGGCCCTGCTGGGGAAGGCTAAGTACTTCTCCACTATAGATCTAAGATCAGCATATTGGCAGGTGGCCCTGGATGAGGCAAATAGAGAGAAGGCCATGTTTGCATGCTACCTGGGCCTATTCCAGTTTAGGGTCATGCCATTCAGTTTGGCCAATGCCCCAGGTATTTTTCAGCAACTTAATGTCCATAGTGCTGAACAGGATTGAAAATTTCGCTATGGCCTATCTGGATGACATTTTTGTCTTCTCAGAGATGCCAGAACAACATTTCAACCACTTGAGGCAGGTATTAGATCAATTAAGAGGGCACAGGTTGAAGCTAAAATTATCAAAGTGCCAGTTTCTGAGGGAGGATACCAAATACCTGAGATTCATTATAGATGGAAGGGGGATTAAGCCCAACCTAGACAAAGTGTGTTTTTGTCACACAGGTTCTCAGAGAAATAAAATAAGCATGGATTTGTTGGGACCATAGGGGGAGACCTCTAGGAGAAACATCATGTACATCATAAGCTTTGTGGATTGGCTGACAAATTGGTCTGAGGCATACACTGAGCCAGATAAGATGGTAGCTGATTTAGTGATGAACAAAATATTTCCTAGATATGGTTCCCCTGTGCAGCTGGTCTCAGATAATGGACCTGAGAATATGAACAAAATAATGACAGAGGTCCTGGCAAGCTTGAATATAGTACACATAACTACATCTCCCTATCATCCCCAGGGTAACACTAAGGTGGAGAGATTCCACAAGACCTTGGGAGATGTGTTAGCTAAGTTAGCCAGGGATAACACTGAGAATTGAGACCAGTATTTGACACAGACCCTGGCAGCTGTGAGATTTATGATAAATGAAAACCTCTAAATTCTCACCATGTTATGGAAGAGATGTAGTCTTACTGGTAGATAATTTGATAAATCTTGCAAGAAGTATATGGAAGAAGACCATCACCAATTAATAATCGAGCAACAGCATAAATTGTTCATCCAGGCCAAGAGGAGGATAAAGAGGGCACAGAAGAAAAGAAATGAAAGGGTAACTAGAGAAAGAAAAGAAGTAGAATTAGGGGTTGGGTACTACAAAATTCACCTGAGAGAAGGAAAATTGAACTAGAGGTGGGTACCCCATTTTAGAATAGTGGAATAGATGTTTCCAGTATCATTTGTAATCCGGGATCAAATGGCAGGGCGAGTTAAGAGGGCTTGTGCTAATGACCTAAAATCAGTTGAAATAGCTGATTAGGAAGTAACTGAACCAAAGACTAAAGAGGCAAGGGTGAGGAGAGCAACCCTTGTGGAGCTGGAATAAATGGAAGCGGATGAAGAAAAGGGAGAGATAGGTCAACAGACAATAGAAACCGGTGGTGGCGAACC